CAAACTTTTTTGAAGTTTACTGTCTTTGAAGAATATTTTTCAGATACAATGTAGACTTTCAGAGAAATGAATTGCCTGTGGTGATTTGCAAAGGTATAGTTACATCAAGGACTTCATAAACTGTAAGCCTAATAAAATTATTGTTGTGCAATTCTATGTAGGTTGTTTTACAGTCTGTAATGCTATATTGGTACATTGTTAGAGTAAATAATGAAACACGGGACAAAAAATAAATAAATCTTCACCTAAGCTGTTCTGGCATAACCATAACTTCTATTTAAATCAATATAAATTTGCATGATTGCATAATTTGAAGAGATAATTTAAAATAATTGAAGATATAAATCTTTAGCATAGGTGAGACAGAACAAGACTCACTCACAGGAATGGAATGAATTTTTTAAGGCAGACTGGAGCATCTTAGGAGTCTTTCTTTCTGGTTTCCTAAAAGGTATCCTGATTATTTGAAAGTCATTTAGAGTGATATTTTTCAGACATAGGACTATATTTTAAGAAAATGAGATTACAGCTAACAGGAGGGCTTACAACTTTAAAAGAGTCTTTTTCACACATATATATATATTTTATAAAACATAAGCATTAATATAAAGCTACCTGCAAATTAAATTTTTGAAAAATGAGACATTTCAAACATGCTTTGGGAGAAAGAAAAGCAAATAAAGACCTTTATCATTATCAACATTCATTGAAAGTATTCCCAAGGATGGAATGCTAAGAGCAAGTTACTAGATGATGTACACCTGCTGTGATTGAGAATGCAGAGTCAAACTATTATTTTAAAATCCGGTACCAACACTTGCTAGCTGTGTGACCTTGGGCAAATCAATTAACCTGTCTGTGTCTCAGTTTTCTCATCTACGAAATGAAGGCAATAGTATATAATAACCATATTAGGATTTGCTAGGTTACCATCCAGTAACAATTAACTCCCAAGTCTCAATGACTTAGACAACAGAAGTTTCTTTCTCACTCATACAAAGCTTGCTGTGGGCTTACACAGCCTTGCAGGGCAGGCATAATCCCGCAGGTGGCTCAACATTCCAGACTACTTAAATTCTACAGCAACTTCACAGTGACAAGGACCCCATGTTATCGGGGAAAGAGAGATCCGGAGAATCCAACCATCATCTTTTAAAGGTTGTTGTTGTTAGGTGCTGTGGAGTCGGTTCTGACTCATAGTGACCCAATGTCTACAGAATGAAACACTGCCCAGTCCTGCGCCATCCTCATAATCTTTGTTATGCTTGAGCCTGTCACTGCAGCCACTGTGTCAATCCATCTCATTGAGGGTCTTCCTCTCTTTTACTGACCCTCTACTTTACCAAGCATGATGTCCTTCTGTAAGTACTGGTCCCTCCTGATAATAAGTCCAAAGTACGTGAGATAGTCTTACCATCCTCACTTTTAAGGAGCACTCTGGCTGTACTTCTTCCAAGACAGACTTGTTCATTCTTTTGGCAGTCCATGGTATATTCAATATTCTTTGCCAACACCATAATTCAAAGGCATCAACTCTTCAGTCTTCCTTATTCATTGCCCAGCTTTCACATGCATATGAGGCGAATGAAAACACCATGGCTTGGGTCAGGCGCACCTTAGTGATCAGAGTGGTATCTTTGCTTTTTAACACTTTAAAGAGGCCTTTTGCAAGCAGGTTCACCCAATACAATCATTTGATTTCTTGACTGCTGCTTCCATGGGCATTGATTGTAGATCCAAGTAAAATAAAATCCTTGACACCTTCAATATTTTCTCCGTGCATCATGATGTTGCTTACTGGTCCAGTTGTGAGGATTTTGATTTTCTTTGTCTTCAAGGGCTCCACCTTTTATTTTGATGGTGATGTTGACTACTATAAAGTAGGCAGGAAATAAAATCAAGATAAAGCTAACTTGAACTTTAAAAAAATTACATCATCTAATTTTAAAACTGTAAAGGACCCTGAAAACAATCCAATCAAATTCCCTTGTTTTACAGATGTGGAAACAGACACCCAGAAATTAGAAGATTTTTGCCCTAGCTTACACAGCCAGCAGTGGCAGAGTTGGAAGTGCAGTGCAGATATCCCTCCCAGCTCCTGACTGGCAGCAATTCCACTACCAACCTTTCCAAGTGTACTGAAGACTCTTCTTCTGTAATATCCCAGAGATCAGGATAGCCTAGCAACATGGAAGTTAGGTGTCCTTTTTTCGAATGTATATTAAATGGAAAACTCAGAAATGATGGGAATAATAGGGAGAATGCCCTCAGGCCTAAAATGGAGTCACAACAGCTGTGTTAATTTCTATTCCTTGTATCTTAACAATGTGACACTTACGGTACAATTCAACTGAAAATCCAAGATTAAATACCATATTGAAGAATAATATTTTTGCTTATGTCAGGAAAGAATGAGATCTGAGAGAAGAGGCAGACTGGCATGCTACAGAACTTTGAAAATGATTTAAAATACACACACACACACACACACACACACACACACACGGGCTGTTGATCATTTGGGTCTCCTGAAGCCACATTATTTTAAAATGAATTTATCCCCAGACTTTTTCCACTCACACAGCACTGCAGGGTCCCTTACCATCAGCAGGGAGAGCTAGAGTGCTGAGCTAGCTGTCCATGTGGTTTTCGTTTCCTTTTGCTGAGTGAAGGGGAAAATTAAATAGTCAACACGTCAAGAGAAGCGAAATGCCTGCTGTGTTTATTGAAGGGTATGTCTGGCATTGACTAACACAATTGTTTTCCACTTGACCAGATTCAGGTTCAAAAGGCAGCTTCGGTTATCTCCAAAATGAAAGGAAAGATCACAGTTCTATTGTCACTTTCACTCATTTAGGTCATTACTGTATCGACTCGCTCATTCTTTTTGCCCTGTGTCCACTCGGACCTCCTGCACGGGATGGGGGAATGCGGCCGTCAGGCCATGACGCTGAGCTGAAGAAGGAACGTCACCCTAAAGCATCCTGGGAAATGCCCAGCCAGAACTACCCCTGTCAGTTACTTATTTGCTAAGCCACTAATCTTGCAAAACTGACGAATCTTAACATGGATTCAGAGATAAAATTATTGTAGGCATCAACCCCAAATACTCTGGTTAAAAACGTTTTCGTGGAGTGATCTTTTTCGTATGCCCTGTATAATGTCATCTGACTTTAGTAACGACGAAGATCCCTATAGGGATGCTATGAGTCCGAATTGACTTGATAGCAAGGGGTTTGGTTTTTGGTAAGGTCACTAGAAGGGAGCCCTAGTGGCCCAGTAGTTAGGTCCTCAGCTGCTAACTGAAAGGTCGGTGGTTTGAACCCACCAGCCACTCTGCAGGAGAAAGGTATGGCCTTCCATAGAGATTAGAGTCTTGCAAACTCTATGGGGCAGTTCGACTCTGTTCTGTAGGGTCACTATGAGTTGGAATCGACGGCAATGGGTGTAGAGGAAGAAGGAGCCCTCGTGATGCGTAGAGTTAAGCTCCGGGCTGCTAACCAAAAGACTGGCAGTTTGACCCCACCCAGAGGCTCCACGGGAGAAAGACCTAGCAATCTTGTTACAGACTGGGAAACCCTATGGGGCAGTTCTACTCTGTCCTATAGGGTCGCTACGAGTAGAAAATAAACGCAACAGTACCTGGTACCTAACAAAAACAACAAGGTCGCTAGGTGGCTCAAAGGGTTTGCACTGGACTGCTAAGTTAATGGTTGGTGGTTCAAACCCACTCACCAGTACCATGGAAGATAGGTCTGGCAGTCTGCTTCTATTAAGATTACAGCCAAGAAAATCCTAGGGAGTAGTCCTACTCTGTAGCACATGGAGTCGCCCTGAGTCGGAACTGCCAGGAGTCAGAAATGACTCAATGGCAGCTAACAACAGTCATATCATTTCTTTAAATGGCAGCCTGCCTTTTTGATGACATTGACAGAAAACAAATAGTTTTATGCGCCTAAAGCTAATTTGACTCTACCCGAAGATTCCACGTAATCTTGTTTCTGTGTCATAAGGACTATAATGACATTTTTTATCATGAAGTACAATATGAAAACGAAAAAAAAGAATAATACTGGCATGTCCTCGTCTTTTATGAGTAGCATTGACAATATTCTTTTTTTCTTCAGTGGATTACAGAGCGGGGAATTCTAGAAGAGAATAAAAGCAGCCCCTTAGCTACTGGAGTAGCTTGGACCTCTCGAAAGTGGTATTTGTAGTTCACATCAATCCTGAGCAAATATTTGGGCTGGTTTCATATGTCAAAACCAAAGGGGAAGGCTTAGCAAGGGCAGGGTTTCTTGCTTCCGATAAGGCAGGCTAAAAAGATACATAGGCTTTCTCTCACTGAACGCCCCTCCTCGTTTTTTGCCTGCTTCTCTCCTGCTTGTAGATGACTCCTCCTTCCTGCAGCTGGGAGGATCACAGGCTGATTGAAGAACACAGCAGTTCAGACTCTAGCCTGTGCTCAGGCTCCCTGGGACACGCTCACCGCTCTGCTTAAACCTACCTGACATCTGCCTGCCTGTGAATCCAGCTCTGGAACCAAATGCATCATTTTACTGCTCTTAAAAGTGAACAGAGTTTGATTACCTCAAGCTACAAGTTGCTTTGCTCCATAAGAAGGAACCAAAAGGATCCAGGAATCATTGTTTTTCAACCTACCTGAGGAGCTTTTGCTTTTTTTTCACCTGAAACTTGATGGTGGGAGGGATTTTTTTTTTTTTCCTTTGGCTTGTTTTTAACTGAAAGGTGATGAAGTTTCTTATTAACATTTTAAACGAGCTAAATTTTTAAATCAGGGTTGGGTCTAATCTAGAAGAAATGCCTGACCATTTTCTCCAGAAATGCCTGACCATTTTCTCCGGGAGTTACGGGAGAAACATCTAGAGGGAAACTTGGTAGGAGAAGATGAGATCTGACTTGCAACTAAACCGCCATTCTTTATTTTGAGAAAATGTACAGACTCGTTGAAAAGGGAAATTAAATATTGACAACGGACCATGTCTGTATTTCTCAGTAACCTGTCAACAAATGACTCCAGCCAGTGGAAGGAAAACCATAATTCTACGGACCTTTTAAATCCTCCAGGAACTCTGAACGTCCTCCTTTTCTGCCTGACATGCATAATGACTCTTGCAGCCCTGGCGGGCAGCGTCTATTCACTAGTTTCCCTGCTGCAAATGCAGAACCGAACGGTTGTGTCCATGCTCGTGGCTTCCTGGTCTGGCGATGACCTCATGAGCGTCCTGTCGGTGAGCATCTTCATGTTCTTGCAGTGGCCAAAGGAGACCCCTGGCTATTTCCAGTCTCTGTGCACCACCTCTGCCTTACTGTATACATGCCAGGGCCTCTCCAGCAACTTGAAGGCGACTCTCCTGGTGTCCTACAACTTTTACACCATGCACAGGGCCGTGGCGAGCCAGGCAGCCTCCAGGAGAGCCGGCCAGGTGCTCGGCGTGGCGCTGACCGTGTGGGCGGCCAGTCTGCTGCTCGCCGCGCTCCCGCTCTGCGGCTGGGGCGCCTTCGTGCGCACGCCCTGGGGCTGCCTGGCCGACTGCTCCAGCTCCTACGTTCTGCTGCTCTTCGCTGTCCACACCTCTGCCTTCGCGCTCCTGGCCGGCCTCTCGGTGCCGCTCACTCACCAGTTGCTGTGTTCGGAGGAGCCGCCCAGACTCCACGCCAACTACCAGGAAATTTCCCGCGGGGCTTCCACTCCCGGGACCCCTTCGGCCGCGGGGAGAGTGCTCTCCCTGTCCCCCGAGGAGGGCCCGGCCCTGCGCTGCTCCCGGGGATGCTCCCCGAGCTCCGACACCGTGTTGGGACCTGGGCCGGGCCCGGGGCGTGGGGCAGCGCCTGCCGCTGGGGACGGAGCCTGCAGGCGTGAGAACCGGGGAACTCTCTATGGCTCCAGGAGCTTCACCGTCAGCGTCGCGCAGAAGCGCTTCTCCCTGATTCTAGCGCTGACAAAAGTCATCCTCTGGCTGCCCATGATGGTAAAAGTGCGCGGATGTGTGTGCGTGTTGGGACCAGCGTCTCTGGTTTGAAGAGCCACCGAGAGACGCGCAGTTAAATCCGCTTCCAAAGGCAGCCCGCTCGGTCGTGGAGACTCTCTTGGAGGCAGGCAGTTTACCGGTGGGCGGGTCGGCCCCCCGAAGTCTTTGTCCCAAGTGCTTCTTATTCCAAAATTGTGGTGGAGGGAGGGGGAGGCCCGACTGCAAGGCCGGCTTACCCAATAAGCAAAGTACGCCCGGGTTTACTTGTGCGTATTTACTAATCTGTAGTGAACAATTTCACCACATCTTTGAAACCCATGTGAAATTGTTTACCACAGATTAGTAAGTAAAACCGTGCGAACCTTGCTTAATGGAAACCGGTGCGTATTCTGCTTACTGGTTAATCCGCCCCTGGAGAGGAGGTGCCGGCGCGTTCGAGTGACTTTTCCTAGATCTGTCGTGATCAAGGGTGTTCTCATGTCTCTCGCGGCGAAATCTGGGAGTATTCAGAAAAGGAGCGTGGCAGTAAATGTTTGGGGGTTTTCCCCCCCAACCTCCTGTCATCCCCTTCTCTCCCCTCCATTCCTACTGGGTGAGGACGCCCCGCCTCTCCAGCAGAGAGATGGGAGAGGCGCGATCTGACCGAGGAGGGGAGGATAAAGCAGGCTTTTGTTCGGGTCTCCAGGCAGCAGCCCAATTGAGAGGTGGCAGGGTGGCGCCCTGGTGTAACAGGCCCGCCTGGGCGGAGGTGAGGGACCAGGGAGGGGACAAAGGCCATCTGGTGTAGCAGATGCAGATTCCACGGCCGCCTGTCAGTTTCCCCAGGTCGTGTCCCCCACGTTGTACACTACGCCTTCCTGGTGGCGACTTGAGTTAACAGGCGGCGCAAACCCCTCCAAGAGCAGAAACCCCTAAAGCTCTGCGTGGCGGGCGCAGCGGAGTGAACCCCACCAGCTCACAGGAACCCACGCCCAATCCGAGGGCACGCGCCTAGGAGCAGGGCTTCAAGCTCTGCGGCGGGAAAGGGGCCTGGAGAAGGGGCTGGAGCAGCGTGCTTCAGGGGAAGACGGGGAAGCGGGAAATGCGATCTGGACTTTGGTCTGAAGCTCTCTCCCCTTTGCAGATCCACATGGTGGTCCAGCACGTGGCGGGGTTTCAGAGCCTTCCCTTCCAGACACTCAGCTTTCTACTAACCCTGCTGGCCACCACGGTCACCCCCGTGTTTGTCTTGTCCAAACGCTGGACCCACCTGCCCTGCGGCTGCATCATCAACTGCAAGCAGAACGCGTACGCAGGTGCATCAGATGGGAAGAAAAGTAAGTCCTCGGCAGTGGGGCGGGTGGAAGCAAAGTGGACACACTCAAGTACAGTCAAGGGGTCCATTTGAGAAAGTTGTCTGATGAGGGCACGAGGAGCCAGGCGAAATTATAATGTGAAACAATTCTTAGCACAGTGCTGGAGTAGGTTTTAAATGAGGCACGTTAGCCCCACAAAGTACTGGTGAGTGGAATAACTATTGTAGGTAAGAAAGCAAGAGAACAGAATTCATTCAACACAGAATGAAATCAACAAAGGCCCTGAAATGTTTTATCTCCATAGCTTTTCGCCCAGAGTAGAAAATAAACCTCCATCCAAGTCTGCTTATAAAATTTGCTATAAGAAGCCTGCAGTCCGGAGAGGTTTTAACTCTTTTCAGGGAGTTAAAACCTCAGGTGATACCACAGCTCATAATTATTTAATGGAACAGTAAAAAAAAAAAAAAAGTTATCATTATGTTGCTGCTTGTATTTTTTCAGGGTTCTGGAAAGCTTTCAGAGCAAGCAAGGGTAGCACCTGGAAACAGGTCCAAAGCAAATTTTAAGCATACACCTCTGCTGTCAAAATTAAAACACACACACCTCAGTTCCAAAAAAGGATAAAAATGGCAATGTTTGCTCATGAATAAATCTAGCAATGCTATTTACTTAAAAAAAATTGATGTGCTAAAGAACACACCTAGATGGGGGTGGGAGACACAGTCAATTACAAAACTTTCTAGAGTATAATTGTCCCCATATTCAGGAAAAGTAAGGAATGGCCTGTATATTTTGATTCTGAAAGGAAGGAAAAGAATATTGTTATTTTGTCATTCAAGATGGAAGTTAGGCTCTTCTACTATTTAATAAATCTAAGAATGCCTTAGTGTATGTTGAACTATCTCATTGCCCATGGAAAATCCTTTTCTCAGAATAGGCAAATATATTGTTCTTTAACAGAGAAGAAAGATGAAATAAAAATAGTTCATTCTTGGCTATTTTAAAGTTGTGAAAATCTGAAGGACATCAAAGTATAGTCTGCAATCAATTCAACAACAAGTTACTTTATAAATATTAATTAGTCATGAATTGGGCATTTTTCATGTATGGATGACATTTAAAATTTAGTGCCTCTAGATGTTTTTCAAATGATCAGAATTTTTTTTTTTTGTTAAGGACATTATAATCTTTTATTGTTAATAAATGGTATATTCATCTGTATCTTTAAAATAAAGTTACAATACTTACAATAATAATGTAATACTTATAATGAACATGTGTTTCTGGAGATTATTAGCAACAATGATACAGAAAATTAATAATAAACCTTTATGGAGCAGTGTTATGGAACATATAAAAGATCATCGACAAGCCTGAAAGTTGTAACATTCTAACAAAACTTGACATTTTGCCACTAAATAAGTGAACCAGCCCTGTCATACGACATACAATATTGTGAGAGAGACAAGAAGAGTTAGGTGCCAGTGAGGACAAAAAGCCTTCGTGAAGTGGTTTAGGGCAGTCATTTGTAAGGAGTGCAGGACACCCGCTTCAGAAGCTGAAAACACAGCCGTGCAACAGGGCTGCCACTGCACGTGACCTTGGAAACATTCTACCTTCTATAACCTCACCAGGTAGAAAAGCCTACAGCAGGCTAACAGAACCAACAGTCATATTAATGCCACATTTTTGAAATTAAAAACATACCTCTCAAGATGAAAATAATCTTTCTTCTAAAATTACGATTGCTTTTATTTGTATTCACTTTAAAACTCAAAAGGTCTTGAAATATGTAGACTTATAGAAAGAGGCACAGATTCAAAAACCAAGAAGTAGTGAGAAACAGTGGTTTAAGATGCTTATAGTTCAAATGACTCCATTCCCTCTTATGATCCCAAGCTCTACCATAGGGGAATTCTGAGATTTGGAACAGAGTGTGTGAGGAGCCACCGTAAATCTTCCTATTGCTAGGAAGACACAACAACAGAATTTTGAAGGCCCAAAGACGGCTGTCTCAGGTGGGCCAGGTGCTCAATCAGGCATAGTGCTTTAATTCTTTGCGAGTTTAATTGCAGTTTCACATTTAAGCTCTTTCACCCTAAACAGAAACACCTCCCTTGACATTCTTTATGAGTGAACTGCAGAAGCAAGGAAGAAAAAATATATTTCTTTCCTAACTTATATTTATCATAGTTTCATTCTGCATATGTAAATATGAATCTACATCCCAGCTGCACTGAATGGGAACTGAGAAACGGTTATTAGTTTTTTATAATTAATTTCAGTCTGGGGAAATACTTTGCATAAATAGCGATTCTGTCTGTTTCCAACAATAATCTGTATTTATCAGCGTTTGAAAAAAAGAACGAAAGAAACAGGAAGATGACTAACGCAGAGGTCTCAGGTGGCAGACATCTGGGCTGGCTACAGCTTCCAGACTCCTTTTTGCCTCCGATGATTTTTTTTTTTTTAATCGAACAGACAGTTAAAAATATTTTATATAAAAAGTCAGATTTCCAGCTTTTATTTGTTAACAAAATCCGAGTGCTTAGTAAGTGACATAACGTTGTTGTTAGGTGCCATCCAGTGGGTTCCGACTCATAGCGACCCCATGTACAACAGAATGAAACACTCCTGGGTCCTGCGCCATCCACACAATCGTTGCTGTTTGAGCCCATTGTTGCAGCCACGTAATAATCTGGAGAATTATTTATTTATATAAGCTGATATAATTATTTATGTCTAAAACTATAATTGGCAAGATGTGATGAAAAGCAAAAGACTAGAGCTAATTCATGTTTTATGCTGGGTTTTGTAACAGTGAAACTTTTGCTTTTCAGAGCAAATACAACATTATTTTTCAAAACTGCAGTATAGATACCAAAATATCGTGGACTATATTCAGATAGTCTTCAAGTTTATTGCAAGTTATTAGTTCATAAAAGACCTCTGACTACTCACAAAAAAAAATTTTTTTTTAAACAATC